GTCCATTAGTGTCTTCCTGAACTTTTGTGGTTCATCTGTCCTTCTGATTCTTCTTACTGATGAGTGGTTTGTATCTTTGTGTTTGGCCTCTAGATTGTGATACCTTCAGCCCTGAACTGTGGAGGTCATTGATGATGTCACTCACTGGTGTTTGGGGGGTTTTATTCACAGCTTTAACAATATTTCTGTCATGAACTCCTGTAGTTTTCTTGGTCGACCWGTTGGATGTCTGTTGCTCAGAACACCAGTAGTTTCTTATTCAGGACTTTACAAATTGTTGTGTTTGTTATGTCCAATGTTTGTCCAATGGCTCTGATTGATTTTCCTTCTTTTCTCAGCTTTTCTCCCACAGACAGATCTCTGCTCTTCATGTTGGTTTYTCCTCTTTAACAAGACAAAACTATTTTATAGGTTTAAACCCAGGACAAAAGTAGACTAGTCATGCAGAGCTGTTTAATGTTTGAACAATCAACATTAAAGGCAACACCTGGTCAATAAACACCTGTCAGTCATATGTTCCAATAGTTTTGCTTATTTGAAAAATGGGTGGGCTCAAACTACAGAGTGGTATGTTCTGAGTTGTTTAAAACATCTTCGTATAAATACAGGAAATAAAAGCTGACATTCTGAACTCTTGTCTCATTTTCATCTTTTGATCTTAAACCCAGATATTTTCAGTCAACAACAAAAACAAGGGAATTTGACTTGCTGGTCCAATATTGTTTGGAGGGGACTGTAAATTTGATCTAATTGTTAGAATTACAGCATGTATATGTCCAAAACAGGCTTCCAGTAGATGRTTTTATTCCATCTTTAGCATAAATATCTTGAAGACAAAATGTTCATAGGTTTGTAAAAGTTGTGTAAAACATTGTGTGTGAGAGCCTTTTAAGAAAGTTGCATGCTGACGTTGTCTTTTTGTGTAGTTGTTCATCACTMAAATAAGTTTCTGACACGTGACCCAGACTTGTGGTGCACCAGACTCCTTTGCAGGTTTGTCCTTACAGTATTTCTTAATCCTTATTTTCTTGTGTTCTCAGGGTCCTAACTTTGAGTTTTCCACTGAAACCCARGAAGAACTGCTCTACAACAAAGAGAAACTCCTCAACAATGGAGACAAGTGGGAGCCTGAGATCGCTGCCAACATTCAGGCTGATTACCTCTATCGATAGAAACACGTGTCGAAGGCTTGTCTGGTCCGTGTTCATGTCTTTAACATGTTATTCTGTATATACTGTAAGAAGACAAACTCATGGCTGTGCTTCAGGGTTGGCTTTAAGTTGTTAAAGACTAATAAAACAGACGTTTCTCTTTAGATTTGATCTGTTCTGTCATTGTTCAAATTAAATATTTAATACAATATTTAAAAAACAAACCAATCCTGCTTGTGTGATGTTTAATGGCTTTCCACAGCATAGTTGGGTTTATTATTCAACCTTCCAGTCATGTAGGAGTAAATAGGATGTGAAGAAACAGAAATTTAAAATGAACCATTTATAAATATGAACATTTAAGAACTATTTGAATAATTAGTCTTCAGATGGTTATAAAAGATCATTGATTTATTAATCAACTGCTACTTTCTAAGAGTTCCCAACTCATCGTAAATAAACAAGTTTTATGTAAAACAAATATTTATTTCTTTTTTGATCATTATTGTCAAGTGATTACGGACAGCCTATGCTAATTGTAGCTAGATGCTAATGTCCACAAGTGTGCAAAAGTTTTAATGATGAATGTCACTTCAGATTTCAACTCTTGATACAGAGAATAAAATTCTGAAAAACAGTTGTGTAAACTGTACTTTTTTAAAACATTGATACAAAAATGTGATGCTTTGTACAAGTTATGATTAGGAAAGAATAAAATTATAAACAGAGTTGTACTGCTTAAAAGAAGACAACAATCAAAACTTATAATTTGATTCAAAACATTAGAATTTTTCACTGTGAGTCTTGACCAGAAAATAAAGAAAATATACTTTTTGGCCGCACTACATGTTAAAATACACCCATTAAATAGTTGCTCCTGGGGATGTTGAGTCGTGGAAATATTTTTGAATCCATCCTGATTTGTATTTTCGAATAATCTTTTCTCTGAGTTCAATTAGYTTTGTCACTTCAGAGGAGTGAACATTTATTGAGGAACTTGTTTTACATGGCATGGAGGTCTTCCATTGGTTATAACCTTCTTCAAAGCTTGCTTTAGGTTGCTAAAGCAAACAAACACGCACCAAAGATTTTGACCTTTTCTTTTGTTTGTTTTTAACAGATGCAACGGATATGAAGTGGCATCCTTTACAAAATGACACTGACCAACTGTAGCCTCTTTAAAATTACGTATTTTGGTGGTCTAGCATTATTTTGTAGAAAATTGGATTTCAATATTAAAGGACTTATTCTGTCGCTTTGTTATCATGTTATGACCATGATTGATTTGAGGCCAAAATAAATGCATAAAGCATCTAAGGGGGTGAATACTTTTTATAGGCAAGGTAAATAAAAGACGAAAATGCACATTGGTTAAGACCCAAGTGAAACTTAACGACAGTGGTGGGCAGCGCTAATTCAAAAATTAACTCCGCAATTTCTAAAGCACTTATGATAGTATTTAGGTCCGCAACTTCAAAACCGCTTACYCAGCAGAAATTTTAGCGGAAGCTAATTCTAAAGCACATGGTTCAATTTGACACTTTCTAGCTGGCTACAACTCATGGACATTACATGTACAATGCTGCCCACTAGTGGTGTATGAACCCTTGTACAGCTCGTTTTACAACCGCTGAATGCTGGGGGTCTGATTTCCTGACACAGAACTTTGGCTCCTTGGTGTAAAAATTAAAAACTTGTTGAAGCTTGCTAGTTCGGCTGATTCTTTAAAAAGTTGCTGAGGATRYCTATTTCGGCTGCTTCTTTGTATTTTTCTTTTGTTGTAGATTTTTCATTAAAGAAGCATCAACAAAGTAATTTTAAAACACTGTTTATTGGAAAACTGAAGCCARGCATTCTGGGTACATGAAGGACTGACAGGAAACGAAAGCACGGAGAACAGGAAACTAGTATATTCCCTTCAAAATAAGATCTTGGATTTTTGTGTTGTGATTCATTGACAGCCTTACCTTCCAATGTTCAAGATAATGACTGAGAGATAATTAGCTGTTAGCTGTACTGCATTTTCATTTTAGAAAGCACAAATCCGCTTATGAATTATAGTAGTAAGTCTGCTAAAGCGCAAATGAAATATTTAGGTCCGCAATTAGCGGATTTGCGCTTTAGCGAGCTGGTGCCCACCACTGCTTAACGAGAACTGGCCCCAYCTACTGGTTGACAAAACTGAGTGGAGACAGTAAGATCAGACAGGTGCATGGACTTTGCCGATTTAATCAGGAAGGTCCAGAGCTCTCTTTCCACAACCACCTCTTCTGGAGGATTTCCAAGGTGTTCCCAGCCCAAASGAGAGACATAGYCTCRCTAGWGTGTCCTGGGTCTTCCCCAGGMTCTKCTCCACATCGGACACYTCCAGAAAACTTTCCRAGAGAGGCGTCCTTTCCAGATAAACAAGCTCTTCTGGGTCCTCTGGGTGTGGAGGAGCAGTGGCTCTACTCTGAGTCTCTTCTTGAGAACTGAACTTCTCACCCCATCTCTAAAGGACAGTCCAGCTACCCTGTAGAGAAAACTCTTTATGACTCCTTGTATCTTTGATCTCGTTTTTTGAGTTACTACTTTGTGACCATAGGAATGGGTAGGAGTATAGACCGACCAGTAAACAGAGTTTCTCAGTTCCCTCTTCACCCCAACAGATGGGTACAGAGTCCACAATACTGCAGAAGCAGCACTGATCTAATCTCACGTTCCATTCTTCCCTCACTCGTGAACAAACCCCAAGATACTTGATTTATACTTGAGGCAGAAACTTAKCCCCAACCTTGAGAAAGCAATCTACCTTTTTTTGACTGAGGACCTCGGACTCAGCTTTGGAGGTTCTGATTCTCATCCCAGCTGCTTCACACTCAGCTGCAAACCYCTCCAGTGAGAGCTGAAGATCATGGTACAATAATGCCAACAGGACCACATCATCTGCAAATAGAGATGGAATCCTGCTGCCACCAAACAGGACTCCTTCCACCCCCGGGCTGCCCCAAGAAATTCTGTCCATAAAAGTTCTGAACAGAATCTGTGYCAACMGGCAAGAGTCCAACTCCCACCCTGAAGGGGTCCAACCCGACTTACTGCTGATGTGAAACAAATTCTCTCTCACCGCTTGTACTGAGGCTGAACAATGGACCCGTGATCCAGTACTCAGGTAGCACCCCCCACAGTGTACCTCAAGGAAACGGTCAAATGCCTTCTCCGAGTACACAAAGCGTGTGTAGACTGGAACTCCCATGACCTCTCAAGGACCGACTGAAGGTAAAGAGCTGGTCCAGTGTTCCACAGCCAGGACAGAACCCACATTGTTCCTRCAGAATCTAAGGTTTGACCAGCAATCYGATTCTCTTCTCCAGCAAATAGACCTTACCAGGGAGTCTAAGGAAAGTGATAGCCCTARAATTGGAGCACATGCTCTTGTCCCCCTTCATAAAGAAGGGAACCACCACACCGGTCTGCCAATCCAGTGGCACTGTCCCTGAAGTCCACCTGATGTTGCAAAGGCAGGTCATCCAGGACASCCCCAAAACATCCAGAGATTTAAGGAAATCAGGGTGGATCTCTGCTGTCGTAGAGCTTTTCAACTACATCGGCAACCTCAGRTCCAGTTATGGACAGACCAACCCCAAAGTCCTGAAACTCTGCTTCCTTCATGAAAGACGTGCTYAGGGGACTGAGAAGGTCTAACACCTGTACAGATAATCATTTTTGTTCTCGTGGCAGGTGTCTCCACAGTGACTTTATTTTAGTCTTGTCTTCAACTACCGAATGTCCTCTCTAACTGCATCCATTTATCTTCTCTTTACTATGTTTTGTTTACCCCTCTGTAGTCATTATTTTTTATATAGTTTTGTGCTTTGAAATGTTTTCACACATTCATTTTGTTATAGTGCTAATAAACTGAATTTTAGAATACTTCGGAAAAAGTGATTAAAATCTTCAAAACCTGATCTGAGCTTAAATGTTAGGCTCTGAGGTCTTCATATTTGGTGTGTGTGTGTGTGTGTGTGTGTGTGTGTGTGTGTGTGTGTGTGTGTGAATCAAATTTAAAACATTTTTTGAAAGTGTTCCCAGCTTCTACTGGATGTCTTCCATGTTTGATGAAATTTGTGTTGGTTTTTGCACGATTTTAGTGAGGACACATGACAAGGATCACAAAACTCAGTGGACCTTTACGACTGTGTAAAACTACAATTAATAGAATATAAAATCGTATGAGGTTCTAGCATTTGTCTACAATAAGCATAAAAGCAGAGAGATTGTGAGCAGTAGTTGCATCCAGTGCTGCTCCCTGTGAAGCAGGCAGAGCAGTGCAGACAGAGGCAGAGCAGCAGAGGAAGGACAGTCGCTCTCTCCTTCCACAGAGAAACAGCCTCTGGATCACAGGACGCTTGACAACTCAATTAGAGGTAAGAATCAAGGATAAAGAAGATTTCTCTTTCAGTCTCATTGTGTTAAGCTCCAGAGTCTGTGTGTATCCAGCAGGGGAAAAAGAGGAAACAGTTGGGGGTGGTAGCAAAGCATTGATTTTGTCTTCTTTATGAGCATGAATGGCTTCAGATCCTGTTAAAAACCTTTTGCATGGAGTGAATTCCTTTTCAATGAGTTTCTTCTGTTTTTCTGCAGTAAGACGGACGGTGTATGTGTGTGTGTGTGTGTATGTGTGTGTGACTTTAACAGCGTCAGCAAGCTGTGTCATTGCATCTTGACTGTAGTCCACCGCCGCAGTACCCCCTTCCCTTCCCCCAGTTCCTCCTGTCCTGCACACACTGTACTTACTGCTCCTCTCTCTGTCCCACAGTGCTCAACATTAACATGGTTAAATGGCCCTGAGGACTACAAGAAAACTACTATAAGCTGGCAATGAACAAATAGTATATTGTTATTGTATACAATGTATTGACATACTGCAAAGATTATAATACCTGAATTCTGGAAACTTCTGTTTTCAGATTTCTGATTCAGAATGAATGGGTGCAACTATGGAAAGTTAATTTGTGCTATATGAACAAATGAGAAGGTGCTTCTTCATAAAATAATCTTTGAGTAATTGTTTCCTTTCTTCTTTTATAAAACTCGAGTTCATAACAGAAGTCCCCTCAGTTCTTTAAGATCTGTTGAAAAACGATGAGGTCGACATTTTAGTCAAACTACAGAAGTAGTCCACAGGACTAGAGACAACCTCCCTGGACTTGTCCAAAAAAGATCGATTCATGATAAATTGGGGAGATATAATAATAAATTATAACAAGAGTCCAAAAGAACTTCTAAAAGGATTAGAAGTGGACTGAAGGACTCACCWCACCAAGCCATAAAGTTACTTCTCATAAAGAGTTACATTCTGTGATTACAGTGAGTGTCGCAAACGTTGGACAATAAAATCTGAAGTTATTCATTATTATTGACAAATAAACATGGGTTCCCTCAATAGCCTACATGCCACGGTCATTAATGACGTATTTCC